CCACTTCTACGGGCCTAATCAGCGTTGGCTACCTCTGTGGATGGGATTTCTTCGGGTTGGTACCTATGTGAACGCCTTTAAGGCTAAACAAGCTGGATTTGTTGGTAATGCGGACGGAGAAGGCCGACTACTTGGAGGTGAGGCTCATTCTTCATTGTAAGCTCGAAATGTTTTAGTTTCTCTTCTTGCCTTCCTGTGTTTGGTTTGAAGGCAATTTTTCTTACTTGTCCACATTTGGACGAGCAATGGAAGTGATAGACCAGATTAGAGCGAAAGTGGCGAAGAAAACGCGGAAATCGGTGTATTTAGAAAAATGTTAGGCTTAAAAAAATCAAACCAGGAGTTGGACGAGAACTTTGCGAAAAGAAGCTGTATGTAAGGAGCATTTGGACGAGCTGTTCGAAAGCGCGCACTATTGCATACAGCTGTATGCAATACGTTGCCTGCATGGAAGGTCTGTTTCCCGGTCAACATCTACAGCTTTACAGCGCTTAAGAAGCCGACGTACGCATGGGTGCGCACGTGGGCTAAGTCAATTCAGTCATTAGCCCTATTTGGCCGTTTTTCGACCCGACAGCTTCCCTTAGGCTATCCTTGGGGGTCTCAGGTTCGTCCAAAGAAGAAATTTCAGGAGGCATTTCAAAAGTAAACTGTGCCTTGAAGCGCTTTAAAAACAGGGAACTTCATACACATGAATTTTCGAACGTTTAACTGTAACAGTATCTATGGGACGACGATTTGTGTGGCAGTACTTGGCCACGATAAAGAAGGGATCTGGCAGTTGAGAGCTTCTTTTTCAGTCGTTTTGACTGATCCCCCTGACTTGAGAGAAATGTCGATAAATGGACTGACATTATTTATTTATCTGTTAACCTGGCTCCTGGCCCGAAGGGAGAAAGGGGGGAGGGGCATGATGTATGTTACCTAAAGAGGTTACGCTTTCAATGCATCTCAATAAGAGAGAAAATATTTTTAGGGATCTATCTGATCGCTAACAACGAGTTGGTCTATTCACATCTGGAAAAGGAATGGGGAGATGCAGCTAACATCGATGAAGTCCGAAATGCGATTCATAAATTCAAGTAGAGTGAACCTATCCTCGTTGGACCTCACCTTGATCTGGATGGGTTTACAAATGTAAAGTTCCACTGAATTATTCTGTAAAAAGAAAGTTTTATGGTGTATAATAAGCATGCTCGTTGTTCCTTGATCCGCTCACATTATGTTGTTTCATGGAATTCAGTTGTCAGCAAAAAGCTTTTCGTGCTCTTTTTGCGCAAAATACTTTCAAGAACCTTCTGATGTGAGTAGAAGTGTATTATATGTTATAAATAAAAATGAGATGATGTTCAAGTCAACATGGTACTGAAATCCAACAATTTCATAGAATTCTTGAATATCATAAGTATAGAAGGAACACTGTATGTCTCTGTCTTGAAATTCTTTTCGGTCGAATCACCAGGAGCGCTCAGGTGGCGTTTAGAATGGCTTTGGCCTTGGTCAAGAGTGAGCTTCTACTCAGGTGATTCTAACCTTTAACTGCACTACACCCATGGAGGTATATCAACTGAGCCCCTAGTCATAGGAGAGGGTGGGAAAATAGGGAGGAGAAGGGAAGGGGTAGGGTGCTCGTGGTGGGCTGCGCCTAACAACTTGAACGTCATCAGTCGAAAGTCTTAGCGGTCAGAAATGGATGAAGGTAAAAAGTAGCCCTGTGAACAGAAGAAATGATGACTCACTCACAGAGGGAACGCTCACCCTGAAAGACCTATACCATATAGGAAAACTTTAGACTGGTTTTTAGAGCGACCTTGACATTAATGGAAAAGTATTAGCGATAGGTATTGACAGGGTGTGCCTGAAATCGTGAAGAG